TGATTGACGAGGGAAACTGTTACCTCGTTTTCAACGTTGTCAGAGCACTGTTGATTCGTGTGGCGGGTGTGAAAAGTTTAGAAGAGAGAAGAGGGTTGCACTAGCAAGAATGAGGATACAAATAGCAAACCCTAGAAGGGTTGTACTCACTATAGAGCACCCCACTACAGGCTAGAGCATAAGATAACATTCTAACAGCGGGGAATGTGTCCGCGCTTCTGAAATTACAGGATGGTTGGACTCCACTCACAATGCATTCGTTTCAAGGTACGGTAGTCATTTTTGAACCTCGATACGTGTGTTGGCACGAAAAATCCCGAAATGAACGAATTGGACACGCCCTAACATCTGTACCCCCTAAGACAAACCCTAACATGTGGGTTGAGGCTACAGATTCTAGCAGCAGCAGCACGTCCAACCCCTCTGCTCCCTGAACCCCCATGAACCACGGTGTAGGCCCATACCAAACCCTATATCACTGCCAAAACGGAACCTCATCCCATAACCGCTTGAACCGCTCTGCAGCTCCAGATTCTAGCATGAGCTGTACATCCAACCCCTCTGCTCCCCCAATCCCTTCCATCACTACCACCATGCCATCGCAGCATGGGAGCCTCGGCAAGCCCCAGGTACCATGGCTGGGCGCCACAATCCGCCCTGTACAAGCCAATATATACACCAGGCTCTTGCCATATCAACCCCAGAACGGAACCTCATCCCATAGCCTCTTGAACCGCTCTGAAGCTGCAGACTCCAGCATAAGCAGCTCGTCCAACCCCTCTGCTCCCCCAACCCCCATGAACCTCGGTGTAGGCCCATACCAGAACCTACATCACTGCCAGAACGGAACCTCATCCCATAGCCTCTTGAACTTCTCTGAAGCTGCAGCCTCCAGCAAAAGCAGCACATCCAGCCCCTCTGCTCCCCCAATCCCTTCCATCACCACCACCATGCCATCATTGCATGGGAGCCTCGGCAAGCCCACATACCACGGCCGGGAGCCAAAATCCGCATCATACATGCCCAGATGCACCCATGACGTCAGCATGATGTCATCCCCGAAGAAAAACTTCGTCCCAACTCGCACGGAGGAGAGGTTTCGTTGCTCCGTGACGAATTCTATTGCGTCACGCATGTAGGTATCAGAGCAGTTTATAATGGATCGCCGGATTCTCCGCGCGATGAGGCGCAGTGCAGCAGGTGTTGTCTCCCTAAGCTCCGAAGCGGAATAACAAGATAAGGCGTTGTAAACTACATTTCCACAGTAATTTTCGGGCAGAGGAGGAATTAATCTTCTCCTGGCGTTGACTCCGGTGGTGAAACGGACATCTTTATTATGGCCTCTGGCTTGAGAGACTAAGAGGAGCATGAGTGCCGACACAGAGTCAATAGTGCTGACGTAGGTGGGTCCTTGAGGGCCATGATCCGTTGAATGGTCTTCTGATCTGGAATCCGACGGCTCTGGTGCGATGGAGCCATTCAACGGTCCAGATGCAACAGATTTGAGTGTTTTGAGCTGGTTGGGGGACATGTGGAAGATGGAATGTGAGGTTGCAGGAAACACACGCTTTGCTGCTGTTGCTGCTGCTGCTTTTGAAACTGTTGGTGCTGCTGCAACTGCTTCTGATGCATGTGATGCTGCTGTTTCTGTAGCTGCGGGCTTCAATGCTGCGGCTGCTGCAGCATGTGCAGGTTTTGCAGAAGGTTCTAGAACCTTCAACTCTGGATGAGGCAGCTTGGACCCAACTCCCTTCCCAAACAGCAGTGACCTGTCATGACAAATCACCTGCTGCTGCTCTGTACCACTCCTCACCCCTCTGTACCGCATCCCCCACATCTTCATGAATGTGAACATACCCTCGCCGTCCATCAGGCAGTGACTAACATTTACACCGACAGCCATCCCGCCATCCGCTAGAATAGTAGCCTTGATGGAGATTAACTCAGTCCGCTCGCGCTCCGGCATTAATGACATAGGAAGGGAAGCCATGGCCTCGGTGGTTGTGAGAGTAGGGATGAGGTTTTGACAGGAAAGAGATTCTTCTCGGTCCGGGTCGGTTGGCCCTCGCACGGAATCTGGTAAGAATGCTTTTGGGACTAGAGTGAATCTGATTGCTTTCGCGCCAGCCGCAAGGCATTCCCTCGTTTGTTGCACACTCGCTACGCCCGTTACAGGATCAACGTGCAATCTGCCCAGCATAATAGGGTAATCTTGTTCGATTAGATCCACGAATGACGCGCGAAGTCGATCCAAATCGTACGGTTTATTCATCAACTTCTCGGTTGTCTCGGCGAGCATATTAGTATGTGCCTCGGAAGACATTACAGCTTCAGCATGAATAGGTTCGTAAGGCCTATCTGAATCGGCAAGTGGTGCATACGTTCGGCAGGTAACTCTTCGAGGCTCGAGAGGGGGGGACTCGCGGGTTCTTGGAGGTTCGGGAGGCGGGAAAATGTTAAGTATGGTGAACCCAAACCGACCCATTACTGCATCTTGCGGAGATAATCGAATCATCTTATCCTCAATCGTAGCCGCCGCGCCAACAGTATTAGCAGCCTTAGCGCCAGCTTCTAGCTTATACGTTGCGGCGGAATTCTCGGTTTTAGCTACCATGATGGTCCAACGCGAACAAATAACAGATGAGCGCGGCCAGGCAAGAACGCGTGCGAGAGGTAGGAGGACTGGCGGCACGGAAAGAAATAGAAGATAGGTGAGCGAGAGAAGAGACGCTGGAAAGCTCGGAAAACAAGAATCAATTGCGGGTGTGCGGTACAAAGAACTCATATTGTGGAATGCATCGTGTCACGAGTCTCGTTGGCAAGAATATTACACTGCAGCCGGGGCAACGGAGCGAATTTGGTAAGCCTTAGTACATATGGCCCGATTATCGAGATTTCACGCGCCGAGTCGGCCAAAAGACGAAGGGTAACCCGAGCTTCCGTGGGGACACGGGAATTTCACTTCTAGAAAGCCGGTTTTCCGCGCTCTCAAACGCAGACCCAGTTCGGCTCGCAATGCGAGATTTCTGTCGGGTAACTATGTTTTGCGTTCGCACCCGTGTTCTCTCGGCATTTCGCCTTCACTCAATCCCGTCGCGTGTGCGAATTGCAGGTTGTGTAGCTGTAAGAGTACATATCAAGATTTCGTAGCGTGGCGGTCTCAGGCTCTGGTTTCCTGGATCATTTATTGGAAATCATCGCGCGCTAATTCCGCACAAACAGTCAGGCTCGGACTAGGCTCGAGGGGAGTTCAGTTTGGTTTTGCGAGGCATGTACCACGTCCTGACGGCATGTACACAAACACCCAACACTCCTGCTTGGAATGGACCACGTTACCGCATCGAAAAGTTTTGAAACCCTATACACAAGATGCCCAACCCCTGCGCGCGAATTTTCCCTGCCCGCGATGGAAACTCTGCACCCGTGTATTAGGGTGCCAGCCAGTTCCACCCCATTTACAAGCACCTCGAGCAATAAGAACCACAAAAACCGAAGTTTGACAGAAGAGACCAACGTCAAACGGTCAACAGAGAGTTACAAAATCTTTTAAAAGCCCTTTTTGCTATGTGCGAATTGACGAAAACTTAGCGAAATGCAAGAATCACTTAAGAGCCCTCTTTACAAGGCAACCTTGGGCTAGTCAAATGGGCATCTTGTGTACACCATATGTTTTAAAATGTCGGGGCTTGTACCAGTTAGTAAGCAGCCCATGGCAAACTTGGTACTAGGTCGCTCATGTGTAATCATAAATAGCTAACAAGTTGCACTAGCTTCATTCCAATAATGAAGTGCACACCATTTTGTTCTAACACCATTTTCTGGACCAAGCATTTTTCGGGTCCTTGTACAACCCACAGCACGCGTGTGGCATAGCAACATTTATGTTTACTGGGTTATTTTGAAGGCCGGTAAGCCCATCCATGGGACTGTAGAAAATGCTCAGCAGCATCCCTTGCTCCCCGGTTAGGAATGAGGTGCTGAGATAAAAGAGGCCTCCGGGTTACTGGATCAAACGAGTTGCCCTGAACAAAGAAAGAAATATTGATCAAGATTGGTACTGACTCTCATACGTCACCTTAGTGAGATTACATCACTCCGCTCGTACATCATTCCACTCGGTGTTATCACGTACTCAATAAAATGCAACATGAATTTTTTCGAAAGTGTGTAACACTTTCTAAAAATGTGTATTGTGAAAGCGCAGCTGCCTGTAACGAAGCAAAGCAACGGCGAATCACAATTCGCCGAGTACATAACGAGAGTTGGAGGCCATTCGGCCTCCACCCACGACTTCATTTCAGAACTTTGCAGTTTCACTCCAATTCTCGTCCAACCACCTCGACTGTTTCCTTGTCGCTAGAAACTACCTTCTAAGCTAATACTCACTTGCACCCAGGTGCTTGATTTTCCATGAAGGGCAAACTATCACGAGTGCGACTGTAACTGGCGGGCGCTCAACTGAGATCGAAGTGCGTCGGACAAAACGCCAACAGGCGCGCCAGAGACGAAATCGCCAGTGGCGCGCGCTAGGGACGAAATCGCCAATGGCGCCAGTGGCGCACGATTGGGACGAAATCGCCACTGGCGCCAGTGGCGCGCACCAGGGACGAAATCGACACTGGCGCCAGTGGCGCGCGCCAGGGACGAAATCGCCACTGGCGCAATTGCCGCGCGCCAGGGACGAAATCGCCACATGCGCGCAGTGGCAAAATCGCCACCAGCGCTCGAGGGACGAAATGGCCGCTGGAGCGGCAGTTACGAAATTGCTACTGCAGCGCCTAAAGTCGTTCGACTGGGCGTCATTTGTTGCCTACGTGCTGCAAGTCTTTTAAGTTTTAAGTTTTTCATCCGTTATGATCTCTTCGATTATTTTCCATTAATCTCTATGCTCCTATTGTTACTTGGTGGCAGAAAAGTAGGCTCAACACCACGGGTGTGGAAAAACACTTTTAAAGACTCTACTGGCCGCGCGGGAGAACTACATTTACGACAGGATCAACTCAACGCGCACCCAAGGACGTCTCCCAATAAAAATAAGGGATCGAGGGTCTTCGTGTGGCCTGAGAGCCGTCCCCCAGGGGGGGAAAGGGGACCGAGGGTCCCCGTGTGGCCGAGAGCCGTCCCCCAGGGGGGGAAGGGGACCGAGGGTCCCCGTGTGGCCTGAGAGCCGTCCCCCAGGGGGGGAAGGGGACCGAGGGTCCCCGTGTGGCCTGAGAGCCGTCCCCCAGGGGGGGAAGGGGACCGAGGGTCCCCGTGTGGCCTGAGAGCCGTCCCCCAGGGGGGGAAGGGGACCGAGGGTCCCCGTGTGGCCTGAGAGCCGTCCCCCAGGGGGGGAAGGGGACCGAGGGTCCCCGTGTGGCCTGAGAGCCGTCCCCCAGGGGGGGATGGGGACCGAGGGTCCCCGTGTGGCCTGAGAGCCGTCCCCCAGGGGGGCAAGGGGACCGAGGGTCCCCGTGTGGCCTGAGAGCCGTCCCCCAAGGGGGGAAGGGGACCGAGGGTCCCCGTGTGGCCTGAGAGCCGTCCCCCAGGGGAGGGAAGGGGACCGAGGGTCCTAGCGTGGCCTGAGAGCCGTCCCCCAGGGGGGAAGAGACTTGAAGGTCCACACGTTGGCCTTACCGTAAAATGGGCAAAAATTTCGAACAATGTGCTCGCTTGTATGACTGGATCATCCTTGGTTTTTGTTGTACCCCATTTACTTTTTAATGTGACCAATAAAGGCTGGTTGGAGCCCCACTGAAATCTCGGGAAGCAACTGTTCAAGTGCACCTCAAGTTGGTTTTAAAATCTTGACTTGACTCAAGTTGGTGTTCACACACTTTTAAACCACATTCCGTGTTTTTCCAAATAAGGGCAATGACAATGGGATTGGTTTTCGCCATCATTCTCATCCCACTTTGTTCGATAACACCCGACAAGGAAGCAAAAGCACACGTTGAAACGACTTGCATGCTGTCACCTGAATGGGCGTTTGGGAGTAAAAGGCGGCAATTGTGTGACCGTTCCTACCCAACCAACATGACGAATACCACACTCACCCGACTACCACTTCAAACCCTTACATCCACCCACGTTGTAGTTATTCCGGCCGGAACATCAAACGACTGGAAGTGTAGGGTAAAGCAGAGCACATGGAAGCTAAATCCCAAGATAAAAGTTGTACCGTACATTGGGCGTGTAGAGTACGGGAACCACCAGTTTCAACCACTATCCTGGTGCACCAACAACCAGGGACATCCACATCAACAGCACGAGCAACCTTCGCGCATAGCACCTCGGACGCCATCGACATGGAGCCCACGACTCACCAACGCCGCCCCTCCCGGCATTTCGTCAATGTCATCAACCGCAACTACACTCACCACGTTTTCAACGCTCCAGCTGCCCATGTCTCAGAAGACCCAATTGTAATGAAGCCAGTTGCCTTTGCAAGAACAGAAAGCAAGCTTTCTCAATATGAATTTTTTCGAAAGTGTGTAACACTTTCTAAAAATGTGTATTGTGAAAGCGCAGCTGCCTGTAACGAAGCAAAGCAACGGCGAATCACAATTCGCCGAGTACATAACGAGAGTTGGAGGCCATTCGGCCTCCACCCACGACTTCATTTCAGAACTTTGCAGTTTCACTCCCCACCCACCCGCCCTAGTTGTACCAATATTTGTATGATCCATAGTTGGACGAGAATGTTGTATTACTGCAATTGTAATGAAGCCAGTTGCCTTTGCAAGAACAGAAAGCAAGCTTTCTCAATTCATATTTCAGCACATTGGTCTAACACTCTTACCACTTTAAGATGCACCTCTATTGCCGATCTCTCATACGTCACTCCGCTTGGTGTTATCACGGGAAAATAGACAGCCACTCTCAACACACTCTTACTGCTTTAAGGTGCTCCTCTATTACCGATCACTCGTACGCCACTCCGCTCGGTGTTATCACGGGATCATAAAAGGCCACTTACATAAAAACACTCTTACGACTTTAACATGCTCTCACCGCTTTAAGGTGCTCCTCTATTGACGATCGCTCGTACGTCACTCCACTCGGTGTTATCACGGGATCGCGGAGAATGTCGAGCATGATGCGACACGACAGGTGCTCTGGTAGCTGGTGTGAGGAGGAGGGGAATGGGGATGGGTACGGGGGGTGGTAGGAGAGAAGGGCAGGAGGGAAGAAACGGGTGCATGTCGAGCATGATGCGGCACAAGAGGTGCTCTGGTAGCTGGTTCGAGCACGAGAGGCAGAGAGAGCAGTAGAGAAGCAGAGAGAGGGGAAACAAAGACTATAACATACGGCCCATACCTTGCTGCTGCAGGGTATTTTTGAGTTTTCTCAAAATACCCTGCAGAAGCAGAGAGAGGAAAGGCAAAGCCAATACCATACGGCCCATACCTTGCGAGCCAAAACAACTTGTTCCGTGCCTCTGCTTTCCCAATGGACGACTGGAGCCGCAGATAGAAGCAGAGAGAGGGGAGAAAGAGTAAAACACAACACCTCGCCAGGAGTATCCTATCCTCTGCCCGTGCCAGTCGGAACACACTGCTTAACACCTCTGCTTTCCCAATGGACGACTGGAGCCGCAGATAGAAGCAGAGGGAGCAGCAAACGGACCGAGAAAGCAGACGTGAAGTAGAGAGAGATTGGAGAAGGCCCGAGCTCAGCTCAGCTCGGCCATACCTCGCCAGGAGTGTCCTCTTCCTCTGCTGAGCGCCTCTGCTTCACAAACTCTCAGTGATTAGCTGGAGCTTTCTCAGTGCAGCAGAGAGGCTGAGCGAGGGCAGGCAATGAACCAAGTAAGTGCCATACCTCGCCAGGAGTGTCCTCTTCCTGTGCTGAGCGCCTCTGCTTCTGCTTTCTCAGAGCAGCACTGAAGCAGCAGAGAAGAGCACCAGCTTCACAAACTCTCGGTGATTAGCTAGTGTTTAATTATACACACTGTCTTTTTCCTACTTGCTTAAAACTACTCCTATGCAAGTGCTGCTCACTGGAAAATGTCCCAAGCTCTGCTTCTGCTTTCTCAATGTACAACTGAAGCAGCAGAGAGGCTGAGCGAGACCAGGCAATGAACCAAGTAAGTGCCATACCTCGCCAGGAGTGTCCTCTGCCTGGGCCAGCCGAAACACGTTGCTCAGCGCCTCTGCATTCTCAATGTACGACTGGAGCAGCAGAGACGCCGAAGGAGCAGAGAATAGCCCAAGTACTGTACCTCGCCAGGAGTGTCTTCTGCCTGTGCTAGAGTAAACACGTTGCTCAGCGCCTCTGCCTTTTCAATGTACGACTGGAGCAGCAGAGAGGCCGCCTCCTCCACTGCTGTCGCATCCTCTGCTGCATCCCCAGCTGCAGGCCCCGCTGACGTGGCATTGTCTGCTGACGTGGCATCTACGGCTGATGTGGCACCCTCTTTTGACAGGAGGCTGGCCTCTCTGGCCTGACCTTCGTTGTAGTCACACTGTTCCTGAGTGAACCCAGAACCAGACCCAGCTGCTGTGCTGCATCGGGTAAAGTCACCCTCATTAGAATCACCTTGATCACAATCACACCTCCCTTCTTGCATACACCTGGTTTCTGTACAAGCCCCTTCGATACAGTCACTCCAGCAACGCCGGCCCACTCCATCCTCGTTATAGTCACTCCTCTCTGCAGGCCGTAGCTGTCTTGGTGCTGCTAATGCTGCCCCTACATCGTCTGCTTCTATGCCTGCTGAACCATTCGCTGATGAACCATTCGCTGATGAACCATTTGCTGCGTCGATTTCACATCTGTCCATCCCTGCACCACCAAGCATTGCAACAGCTGCCCGGGAACCCCTGGGAGAAACACCACCAAGCATTGCAATGGTCGGGACTGCCACTGCCGTTGCTTCTCCTTCTCCTCTTACTGATAATGCTGCTGATTCCCCTGATTCAACAGCAGGAGCAGCAGCAGTAGCAGCAGAAGGCAGGAAAGGAGTAGCAGCATTCCCTTCCCCTGATTCAACTGCCACTGCTGCTCCTGTTCCTGCTCTTACTGGATCAGATGGTGCTGCTGCTGCTGTTACTCCTCCCACTCGATCAGACTCCCCACCTAGTTCTGCTGCTGACGCAGTAGCAGACGCCCTAGCCGCCGCTGCTGCTGCTGCTGCTGCTGCTGCTGCTGCTGCTGCTGCTGCTGCTGCTGCTGCTGCTGCTGCTGCTGCTGCTGCTGCTGCTCCTCCTCCTCCTCCTCCTGCTGCTGCTGCTGCTGCTGCTGCTGCTGCTGCTGCTGCTGCTGATCCTCCTCCTGCTGCTGCTGCTGCTCCTCCTCCTCCTGTTGTTGCTGCTGCTGTTGCTACAGGGGGGGCACTGGTGGTGTTCGGCGCTCGGGGCACGGAGGGGCAGCAGCAGCTGCCTGGAAACCCCTGGGAGGAGAAGCACCCCCCTCTCGGCATCTGAGGGGATAGCGGCCCTTGCTCCGCCCCTCCTGAGCCTGCTGACGTGCCAGCTTCTCTTGTTGCTGACGTGGCATTGATTAACGTATGTGACTGTAACGAAGGTGACTGTGGAGGGGTGGAGGAGGGGGAGGAAGAGGAAGGGTCGTCCCTCGATAGCGCGTCAAGGGTTTGAAGGGCATCTTGCTGGATCAGCAGAGGTTTAGAACCTGGGGAAGAGAGGGGGAGGGAGACAGGGAGAGACGGTGAGATTCTATTTTTGAGGCACCTCAAAAAGGAGGAGGAAGAGGAGGCGTCCCCACTCAGTGGCGCCTCTAGGGTTTGATTTGAAGCGCGTCCTGGTGGATAGGCAGAGGTTTAGAACCTGGGAATGAGAGAGAGAGAAAGAGAGGGCGAGGGAGAGGGAGAGAGGGAGAGACAGGGAGAGGGAGGAGGAGTGAGAGAGGAGAACGCTCCACGGTGGTGGAAAGAAGGCACCCCTCAGTAGAGCCTCGAGGGTTTGAAGGGCTGCTGAATTGGAAGCGGTTTAGGCGAGAATAAGGAAGCGAGAAAAATAATCACCATCATTATCGATACCAATACCATCAACATCATCATCTCATCGCCACCACCACCACCAGCACTATTATTTATCATCACCACTCTTCACCTCACATCACCGCTCATCACTGCGCATCACCTGTGATCGCAGCCAAATCTGCCTGCAATTGCTCCTTCAGCAGCTCTCCAAGGAAAGCCCTGAAGCAGACGCATGCGTGGAAAAGGAGAGGATGCAGGGAGAAAAGAATACGTGGCTTCTGACTAGACAGTTTCTGAGGTGCTCACAATTGACTGGAGCAGCTGTTTCAAGAACCCCTCTAGCAAACACCTAAATACAGAAGCACACGTGGGGCATGCGAGTATGTGAGTGGCATGCGAGTATGTGAGTGGCATGCGAGTATGTGAGTGGCATGCGAGTATGTGAGTGGCATGCGAGTATGTGAGTGGGCATGCGAGCGAGCGTGTGCGTGCCTCCCTAATTCCAATCCCCTAATTTCAATTCCCTAATTTCAATCCAGAAACAGAATCCCCTTACTTTTGAGCCGACTCAGAAGTCAACCATGAGTGAGCGTGTGTGCACACGCATGTGTGTTTGCCTACTTGCAGAATCAGTGCTCCCCCCTTTTGAGCCGACTCAAAAGCCCCCACCTCAGCTGCTGCTGCTGTTGCTGCTGCTGCTTCTTTCTCAACCACGACTCCACCTCCCGTTGCCGATACCTTGTGTGCAAGTGCATACGCATGCGTGCGCGTGAGTGTACATGCACGCCACGATAAAAAGCAGTGCTCCCCTGCCCCCTCCCCTCACCTCAGCTGCTGCTGCTTCCTCTTTCGCATCCACGATTCCACCTCCCACTGCCGGTACATTGCGTGTGTGCATGTTCACATGGGTGTGTGCACGCGCATGCTCTTACTTTCCACACCTGTGCGACCAACTCACCTCAGCTGCTGCTGCTTCCTCTTTCGCATCGACGATTCCACCTCCCACTGCCGGTACCTGGCAGTTGTGAGGAGGGGAATGATGGAGGAGACAGGAGGGAGGAGAGCAACCGAAGCATTAATTTGAGTCGCATCAAACAGAGAATCCACCTCCCACTGCATGCATGCACGTCTCTAGCAGCCCTGCCAGCCCGAGGTGACTTTTGAGTTGACTCAAAAGTCAGCTCTGTCCGCCCATCCCACAATAGCGTAACACCCACCCGCACCCACCTGCCACCCGCACCCACCTGCCACCCGCACCCACCTGCCACCCGCACCCACCCACCTGGCAGTGACCATTGCGTTCCACACGTCATTCAGGTTGCCTGTGCTGCTGCCCAGCACTGCACGGAGCACTGACGAATCACTCCTGAGCACCAGCTGCGTGCTCAGGAGTGACGAATGCAATGGCCGCTCGAAGCCCTGCCCGCCCACCCCACCCAACAACAGAGTCGCACAACCACCCACCTGGCAGTGGCCATTGCGTTCCACACGTCGTTTTTCCTCTGCTGCAGCCCAGCCCAGCAGTGCATGCCTCCCTCCGTGCTGCCTAGCAACAGCACAGCAGCAGCCGGACCCACCTGGCAGTGGCCATTGCGTTCCACACGTCATTCAAGTTCCCTCTGCTGCCCAGCCCAGCACTGCACGGCATGCCTCCCTGCCTGCCTGCCTACCCAACAATAGCACACCACCCACTCACCTGCCAGCAGCACCACCCACCCACCTGGCAGTGGCCATGGCGTTCCAGACGTCATTCAAGTTCCCTCTGCTGCTGCCCAGCACCTCGTCATCTCGTATGATCTCGACCGCCTGGTGACAAGCAACGCAGGGCAGAAGGAGCGGGTGTATCTGTTCATGCAAAGACAAGACCCCTTTGCCAGTGTACCCCTCTGCTGCTGCCCAGCACCTCGTCATCTCGAATGATCTCCATGGCCTGGAGGGGAGGCAAGCAGGCAGGCAGGTAGGTAGGCGGGGAGGGAGATGGGCAGGCAGGGAAGTAGGCAGGGAAGCAGGCAGGGAAGCAGGCAGGGAAGCAGGCAGGGAAGCAGGCAGGGAAGCAGGCAGGGAAGCAGGCAGGGAAGCAGGCAGGGAAGCAGGCAGGGAAGCAGGCAGGGAAGCAGGCAGGGAAGCAGGCAGGGAAGTAGGCAGGGAAGCAGGCAGGGAGGCAGGGGGGGAAAACAGTGACAGTGGCTCCCTCTGCTGCTGCCCAGCACCTTGTCGTCCCGAATGACCTCCACGGCCTGGTAAGACGGGAAAAGGAGAGGGAGAGGAGAGGGGAGGGAGACATGGAGGAAGGAGGAGGGCCCTTAGCGGCAGTGGCTCCCTCCGCTGCTGCCCAGCACCTCGTCGTCCCGAATGATCTCCACCGCCTGGTGGGGGTCAGGTCAGCACAGGGCAGAAGGAGCGGGTGTATCTGTCTGAGGGAGAGTATGAGAGAGCGATGGGGCGAGGGCAGGCAAGTTGGTCCCCTCTGCTGCTGCCCAGCACCTCATCATCTCGAATGACCTCCACTGCCTGGTAAGACGGGAGAAGGAGAGGGAGAGGAGAGGGGAGAAAGGGCAGGGAGGAAGGAGGAGGATCTCTTGTGGCAGTGGCTCCCTCTGCTGCTGCACCTCGTCATCCCGAATGATCTCCACAGCCTGGTGGGGAGGAGAAAGGAGGAGAGGGGGGGGAGGAAGGGAGGGAGGGAATGAGGGTGCGAGGGCAGGCAAGCTGGCTCCGTCTGCTGCTGCCCAGCACTGCATCCTCTCGAATCATCTTCACCGCCTTGTAAGCATCTTGCAGGCAGGCAGGCAGGCAGGCAGGCAGGCAGGGAGGGAGGGAGAAGGGAATTCCCAAGCTAACTCTGTCAGGGGTATTCTCAGGTAGTGGTGCGCCTGGTGCGGTGCGGTGTGGTACCATTGGTCATCCCTCTCTCACCCATACCAGTCATAGCACTCTCAAACCAGCTCTCACCCTTTCGAGCACATGAGCAGCCTCGGGGTAGCGAGCGAGCTCTGTGAGGGCCGTTCCCAGGTAGAAGTGTGCCTGTGTAATGCGGTTTCGTGTGGTGTGGTGTCGTGAAATGTGGTGTGGTGTGGTGCGGTGCGGCATGGTTTGCAGGGAAGAAATGGCGGAAGGAGAGTGGGAGAGGAAGAGAGAGGGGGGGAGGGAGGGAGACGGGCAAGAAAGAAGCGATTGATAAATAAGCCAGACTTTGAAAAGCAGCGCGACTGGCTTTTGAATCCATTCACTAAGAATACTTTTTTTTTAAATCGAAGACAAGCTCTGTGAGAGTCTTATCAGAAAGAAGCGTGCGCGGAAGAGAGGCACAAAAGCGTTCACATACCTACCAATACCATCCATACGTGTCCGGCGTCCGCATGCACAGCATGCGACTTCTGAGTCAACTCAAAAGTTACCAATGCCATCCATACGTGTCCGCATGCACAGCATGGTTCCACAAGTAGAGAAACAGTCATGCATGCACAACTGGCGCAACGCCCACCTTGACAGACTTGTTGTCGTGCTCGATTGCTCTCACACAGGCATGCTCCCTTCCACCTGTCCACCTGTGACAGTGAGGCATCCGCAGCAGCCCACCTGTCTCCCCTCGCATAAACCCACCTTGACAGACTTGTTGTCGTGCTCGATTGCTCTCACACAGGCATGCTCCCTTCCACCTGTCCACCTGTGAAAGTAAGGCATCCGCAGCAGCCCACCTGTCTCCCCTCGCATAAACCCACCTTGACAGACTTGTTGTCGTGCTCGATTGCTCTCATACAGGCATGCTCCCTTCCACCTGTCCACCTGTGAAAGTAAGGCATCCGCAGCAGCCCACCTGTCTCCCCTCGCATACACCCACCTTGACAGACTTGTTGTCGTGCTCGATTGCTCTCACACAGTCATGCTCCACCAGTAGCCCACATCTACCCTGCAGTCTACCCCACAGTCATACCCTGCGCACTCACCTTGACAGACTTGCTGTCGTGTTCGATCGCATGCTCCGCCTGCCCACCTGTGGTGGAAGTAAGTGAGCCCTCAGCCCACATGCCTACCCTCCACAACACACACCTTGACAGACTTGCTGTCGTGTTCGATCGCATGCTCCGCCTTGTCGGAGTTGCGGCTGCACTCTTCTTTGCCTTGATTCTCCTGCTCTGTCTCTCCTTCGTTCCCTCTATTGCCTCAGCCACTCTCGAGACTCTCACCTCAACGGTCCTCCCTGAGTGGGTGTCACCAAACGCAAGGCTAGAGGTAACCAGAATCCACTATACGAAAGGATAACAAACGGAAAGCATTGTGTGTGTGTGTGAGAGTGAACTTACCTGTCCCTGGCTCGAGCCGTGCATTTCTCAATGTGCGGCTCGGGCCTGGGTGGGTTTGTTCCCATTGGTCGCGAGGATTTCACCCCTTGGTGATCTCCTACCGACTCCGCGTCAATTTCCCAGCCCCCCACCTACTTATCCTTGAGGCTGCATACACCAAATACAACACATCACTACACCCGTCCTACACCTTAATCATACTGGCACCTTATATGCACAACCGTGCACATTCGGTGACAGCTGTCGGAGTTGCGGCTGCACTCTTCTTTGCCTTGATTCTCCTGCTCTGTCTCTCCTTCGTTCCCTCTATTGCCTCAGCCACTCTCTGCCCCCTCCTGTGCCCGTGCTCGAGCAGCTTGAGCGCGGGTCACAGGACCAGTACGCTGAGGCCCTGTTCCCCTTATCACTGCCGTGTTCGTCTGATGTTCCCGCAGCTGCGCCCCCGCGTCATTTTCCAAGACCAGCACTCCTGATGGGCGCACCTCCTTGACTTTCCAGCGCACTGTCCCCAATCCCACATCTAGGGTGTCCTGCTTGGCCTTCTTCAGATACACTTCCTGTCCTTCGCTGATGGCCCTTGCCGCTCGGCCCTCCCCCTTTTGCTGCCTTTGTTCATATCGCCTGGCATCTCTGAGCTGTGCGGTGCGCAGGTTCTCCAGCGCGGCTGGCATCATGTAACGCATGTACCGCGCCCTCACCTCGGACAGGGCTACCCAGTTCTTGATTGTGCCTGCTGTCACTGTGTCTGTCAGCACCCGTGGTGCCCCCACAGGCAGGATGGGGTCCCGTCCGTATAGCAGGCTGTATGGGGAATGATCCTTCAATGCTGCCTGCTTCCCGAATCTATACCCTGCTGCGATCCAGTCCAGCTCCTCATCCCAGTCCCTCTTCCGCTGCTCCCCATAGGCCCGGAGCCCTCGCTTGAAGGTCTGCACTGCTCGCTCAGTCAGCCCGTCGCTCTGCGGGTGGTAGCGAGAGGTCTTCCGATGGGTGATGCCCGACTCCGCCAGCAACTTCTTGAACTCCCCCTGGAACTCCGTTCCCTGGTCTGTAAGCACCTCCCCACATGCCCCAAACCTACACACGACCTGTGCCTTGAAAGCTGCTGCAATGTGCCTTGAGCTCTTGCTGGGGATGGCTCTCACCTCCAGCCACTTGCTCACATGCTCCACCATGAACACGATGTACTGGTTCCCACTCCTGCTTAGGGGCAGCTCCCCCGCCAGGTCTAAGGACCATCGGAACCCTAGCCCGCAGATTGGTAGTGAGGTCAGCTCTGCTTTGGCCTGCGTCAGGTTGGCTTTGCTCCTCTGACATGCCTCACACCCCTCTACCCACTCTTTCACCTGTCTGCGCATCCCTTCCCACCACCAGCCCGTCTTCAGCAGATGTACGGTCCTCTCATGTCCGAAGTGTCCCAGCTTAGTGTGTACCTCTTTGATTATTGCTTCACGGTCCTGTGGCGCTGGCACCAGCTTCCAACCGTCCTCTGTCTTGACCTGCAGCTGCTGCTGGTACCACCTGTAGTGGTGTCCTCGTGCTCTCACTCTGTCAGACACTGCCTCGTCTTCCTCTGTTTCTCCCCTCACCCACTTCATCGCCTTCTCATCCTGCCATATGTCCGCTGGCCCCTTACTCCCCTTGGCACCGACTTGTTCCACTTCTCTCGCCAGCATGATCAGGGTGTGCGCTGGCTCCTGCTCTGTCCCCTCCGTCCCCTGTGTTCCTTGTCCTGTTTCCAGCAGTGGTGGATTACGGGAGAGACCGTCTACGTGCTGCAGCGTCTTCCCCGGCCTGTGCCTGATCTGGAAATCATATTCCTGCAGCTTCACGGCCCACCTGGCGTTCCTTCCCGTCAGCCCTGGTGTGGTCATCAGCCACGTGAGGGGCTGATGATCAGTGACCAAGGTGAACTCGCGGCCCTGCAGGTACACCCTGAAGTGCCCAACTGCCCACACTGCCGCCAGTCCCTCCCCTATGTATGAGCTATACTGTGCCTCTGCGGGGTTGCAGCTCCTGCTGGCGTAGGCTACCACCTTCTCCACTCCCTCCACCCCCTGGCACAGTATTGCCCCCATCCCCTGGCTGCTCCAATCGGTGTAGAGGACGAAAGGTTGGTCTGCTGTTGGCAGCCGTAGCACTGTCGCCGTCTTTACGGCTGTCACGAGGTCTTGGAGTGCTACCCTCTGCTGCTCTCCCCACTCCCATGCCTTGTCCTCACGCAGTATCCCATTCAGCACCGCCGCCCTCTTACTGAAGTTAGGCACAAAGCGCCTGTAGTAGCTGAGGAAGCCCAAGACCGCGCGCAGCCCTGACTTGTCGCTAGGTTCCCTCAGCCTGTCCAGCACCTATACCTTTGCTTGCTGGATCCCGATCTGTCCCCCTGTCACCTCATACCCCAGGTACTGCACCGTCCGTTCCCCCCACCTGCATTTGTTGGGATGGCATGTGAGCCCTGCCTCCTCTATTGCACTCAGGGTCCTCTCCACGTCCTCCAGATGCTGCTGCTCGGTCAAGCTGAAGATGACTACATCATCGATGTAGCATGCTGCATGTTCAATTCCCCGCAGCACCGCGTCCATGACTCGTTGAAACACCGCCGAGGCGTTCCGTAGGCCGAAGGGCATGTATAGCCACTCGTACAGCCCGTCCGGTCCGTGGAAGGCTGTCTTCTTCACATCTTCTTCCCTGATTTTTATTTGATTGAATCCCTGGCGCAGGTCCAGCGTCGTGAAGTACACCCCGTCGGCCATCTTGTCAAAGAGCTCCTCCGCCATCGGCATGGGGTACCTGTCCGGCACGGTGATCTTATTAAGATCTCTGTAATCGCCGCACATCCTGCGGCTCAGCACCTCTCCTGTCAAATCCTTCCTGGCTGCCACTACCGTCGGGGTCGCGTACTCTGACTCTGACCTTCTGATCAATCCAGCTTCCAGTAACTCCTTTATTTTCTCCCTGCAGATCGCCTCATCCCCAGGCGGCATCTTTCTTCGGCGGTGGAACACCGGCTCATCGCTGCTCAGCTTCAATGCCATCTCCTTGATCTTGCACTTCCCCAACTCCTGCAGGGTGAAAGCGAAGCCCCTCCTGTGCTTAACCAGCAGTGCCAGCATGGCTGCCTTCCCTCCCTCACTCATGCTCTCACCTATCTTCCACTCATGCTCTGCTTTCGGCAGGCAGGCCCATGCCCCCTGCCTCACCGTTGCTACTGTGTTCTCTCCCTCCTTCAGTCCCCAGCGCAGCACTGTCTCTCTCCACATCCGCTGCACCAACCACCTCATCACGTACCCATCCATTGCGTTCCCCATTGCCCGCCTCCGTTCCTGTTCAGTGACGCCAGGGGCTGCTGTAGCGTTCTCCTTGTACCCCATAGCCAGCTCCCTCTCCAGGGCCGTGGGCTCCTCCCATCTTCCCTTCCTGTGGTCGAGCACTAGTCCTGGGCCTGGCTGCTTCCCATCCATCTGGTACCCTGCTGCCCCCTCATATGACACTAGCGTAGGCAGTGCTTGCCTCTCCTGCCCCACTTGATTGCACGGATAATGTCGGCTGTAGCTCTTCTTATTCACTAGTGCTGGCGTTCGCCCAGGCTCCAGTATATCGCTCAGCTTCCGCCCCCCTGCTCTCCGTACCCCCTCTATCTCCTTCTGCAGGTCTTCCGCTGGCACCACATTCTGCCAGTACATCCTGAGCCTGTGTGCGTAAGCTCCCATCCGTGTCGCGTCGCAGCTCACTCCCTTTCCCACCTGTCTGGTCACTCGCTCCCTTACTACTCGTATGGGCTCGTGCACATCTCCTTCCATGTCTAAATGCTCCAGCAGGTAGGCCACCCTGCTTTGTCGAGCCTGCAGCCACTCCAGAATTTTGAACAAGTCCTCCATCAGTTGTGTCCGCAGGTCTTGCTCACCCTTGCCCTTCCCTGCCCATGATACCCCTTGGCATTCCCATCCCGCCACCAACAAGTCCACGTGCCCCCAGCTCGCCACCTCAGCCTCTGTGATGGCCCGTACATCGTGCACTCCTCTACTCATTGCTGCCTTGATCACTTCTTCCTTCAACAGCTCCGGGAACTCGCGGTGCAGCTGCCATGCGTGATGCTCCGCCATTTTCCTTGCTTCTGCCGCCTTCTCTACGTAAATCCACTGCTTCACTGCGATCCCGTTCCGCACCACTGCTGCCAACCCCGCCCCTATACCCCCAAATAGTTCCACCAGGCGGATAGGTTGCTGCCAATCAGTCTGCTGGCTAGGCTCGTCCATGAAGCGCATCCTCAGCTCTCTGCCCTGTCCCTTGCTTGTCGTGCTCTCCTGTGCCCCCTGCTTCGCTGTCATTTCCTTCAGATCCGCCCTGTAGGCCCGCTTCGGCTCTGTCTTAACGAACTGCACCGGCAGCTGTCCCAGTGGCTCACCCTTCCTCCACCACCTGGTCCTGAATTCCACCGTCTCCCTCCAGAAGCAGATGGTCATGCCCAGTGCAAAGATCATCTCCGTGCCCACCAAAACGTCGAAATCTTCAGATTCTGAGATCCCGCACCTGATCCTGACCGGCGTTTCGTGCTTCTCTCCTTTGAGCACCGTCAGTTCAATTGGAGTCCTTGTACATGGCATCCACTTTGACTCCCCTCCCTCTGCTGTCATCACCAGCATCCCCTTCACTACATGTCTGTCCGGTGCCCACAGTCCCAGCTTCTCGGCCATCCCCTTCCCTAATATCACGCTCTGCGCGCCAGTGTCTATGATAGCCGTCTTGGCCTTCTCCCCTTCCACCGACAGCGCGCCTCCTTGTATCAGCAGCACGGAAGTCTGGCACGCCAGCCGCTCCTGAGGGTGCCGTGCTGCTGTGCACCTCTCTTCTTTCGCTTCCGGTTTCTGTCCTTTCTCTCGTTCCTTCCTCACCTGCTCCTTCCGTGCATCCCTTCCCCCGCTGCGCAGCCCCATCTCCTCCCTTCCTCTCCATGCCATGTATGCTGGCTGCTCCTCGTGTTCCACCTCATCCTCCGCTCTTCCTGCCCAGCTCATGAATGCAGCTTCTTCATCCTGCTCTACATCCTCCTCCTTTTCTTTCTTAGCGTACATCCCCGCTTCTGCCTCGCGTCGTGGTCCCATTGCCTGCAGCTGAGCCTGTAGCTTGCCAATCTGCCTTTCCAGGTCCTCTGGTGTCCTCCTCGCTGCTCCCTCCCGCTGATAACACTCCCTCGTTGCATGCCCTCCCTTCCCACAGATGTCACACTTTGGCGCCGTTGGGCATTCCCGCCGCCGGTGTCCGGGCTTACCACAGGAGTCGCAGTTCTTGCAGTCTCTGCGCAAGTGCCCTGGCTGCCCGCATCGGTGGCACGTCCGTGTGTCAGTCCTGTTATCCCCTCTTCCCCCTCCTCTTTCCTTTTCTTCTGGTATCATGGCTGCGGCCCACGTAGGTCCTCTGCCTCGCTCCACTGGGCGTTGCCGGTAGGCTTCGAGCTTCCTCTGGGCCATCTCCATCTTCTGTGCTAGCTCGAATACTTCATCAAGCGTCACGTCAGCCCCCCTCTCGTACACTTTCAGCCGCAGCCCGCTTCCCAAAGTACCCTCCAGGCCGTCCAGAAACTTACTCACGAGCAGGGCCGTGTCCGCGCAACTCACATCCTCTGCCAGGTTAACCAATCGGTTGTAGTAGGTGAGTAGTGACTCGCCCCGCCCCTTCCTGAAGTCCTGAAACTCTCTTATCTTCTCCGCGGTGTGGCCTGGGAACTGCCGTTTCAGCCGTCTTAGGAATGCCTCCGTGGGGTCTTCCCCATACCTCCCTGCCCTCTCCAACAGCTCATCCATCTTCATCCTGTACAATGTCTCTGCCTCCCCTTCCAGTGTGTTCGGCAGGCTCAGGAAAAAGTCTACTGAGTCCATGCCGCTCCTCTCACATCGGTACCGCACATTGCCCACTTGCATGAGGTAGTTCTTCAGCGTGGGCCCCGTATGCTGATCTCCTGAGAAGCGTGTAGGCACCTCCACCCTCATGCCCACGGCCGTGCCTCCCCTTCCTTCTCCCCATGCCTCGCTCGGCCCTCCCACCGATCTCCCTGATGCTCCCCTTCCTTTTGCCCGCTGTAGGCCCTCCCTTGCTTCCTTGGCTCGCTCCAGGCTGTGCACCAGCCCACTGCTTTCTTCTCTATCGCCATGTTGCTCCCGCCCTCCCTGTCCGGCACATCTTCCATCGTGCTGCCAATACCGGCCAGGCGATCGAGACCCACCACCGCGCCTCCCATCCCTGCTCTGCCGCCGATGCGGTGAGCGATATCCGCCTCCCCGGCTTTCCCCATGACGCAGGTGCCAGTCGGGCGAGTGCGCCTTGTCTCCCCACTTCTCTCCACGGTACCGTTGCATGTCCGGCGAGCGATTGCCTCCTCCGCGTCTCTCATCACGCGAGTAACGAGGCTCTGGCGAGCGCGAATCCCCTCTGCTTCTCCCGTCGCGATTTCTCCGCGGATCTAGTGAGTGCGTGCTGCCCCCGCGCCCACTGTCCCGGTGTTGCCTCGAATCTGGCGAGTGGTATCCACTTCCGTGTCTCCTCTCATGCAGCGGCCACGGATCTGGCGAGCGCATGCCGTCGCCGCGCCCCTTTTCACGAGTGCGCCGCAGACCTGTCGAGCGCATGCCGTCGCCGCGTCCCCCATCACGAGTGCGCCGCGGATCTGGCGAGCGCACACCGTCGCCGCGTCCCCCATCACGAGTGCGCCGCGGATCTGGCGAGCGCACGCCGTCGCCGCTTCCCTCATCACGAGTGCGTCGCGGATCTGGCGAGCGCACACCATCGCCGCGTCCCCCATCACGAGTGCGCCGCGGATCTGGCGAGCGCACGCCGTCGCCGCGCCCCCCATCACAAGTGCGCCGGTGATCTGGCGAGCGCACGCCGTCGCCGCATCCCGCGTCGCATTGCTGACGCAAATCTGGAGAGCGCGAGCTGCTGCTACGCCTCCCGCTGCCACGCTCCTCTACGTTGCGCGGCGGGTTTCGAGCACCACTCGTTCCGTCCGCCTCCACCGCGCTTGTCTCTGCCGCCATGCTCGCCTGCGCGAGATCTGCTTCTGTTGCTTCTGCAGGCACGTCGCGCTGCTTGCTCACGTCCTCCTTCCGGCCGTCGGCGCCGTTCTCCGCCGCATCGCCGTGCTCGGACTCCTGCGAGGTGTCCGCCGCGTCGCTTTCTTCTACTCCGCCAGCGTTGAGGTCTCCCTCTCGGCCCGAAAACAGTCCTTCCAAGCCTCGCCCGCGCCTCCGATCTTCGCGACGGCGATAACTTGCATCCGGCGAGCGATACGCTCCCGTCTCCTGGCGATATCCCAGATCGCCACCCCCATGGCGCGTTTCCGTCCGCCACGGATCACTCCTCACCATAGCCGATTCCGATCCGCCGGCTCTCCCTTGTGCAGATCCTTCCTCTCGGCGTTCATGCCCGAGAGGCACCTGATCCGCCCGAAAGGCAGGCCTTCGCGGCGATCGATCTGGCCTCCGCGGAGACCGCTCCAGCGACCGCCCACGCTCGCGGGAGTGTCCGCGCCGTGAGCGATCCTGCTCATGCCGACTATACGTCCGGCCATAACGCACGTCGTACCCGTCCATGCTTGCACGCACGCAGAATTCTTTCCGTTTGTTATGAAAGTGACGAGACTCTCACCTCAACGGTCCTCCCTGAGTGGGTGTCACCAAACGCAAGGCTAGAGGTAACCAGAATCCACTATACGAAAGGATAACAAACGGAAAGCATTGTGTGTGTGTGTGAGAGTGAACTTACCTGTCCCTGGCTCGAGCCGTGCATTTCTCAATGTGCGGCTCGGGCCTGGGTGGGTTTGTTCCCATTGGTCGCGAGGATTTCACCCCTTGGTGATCTCCTACCGACTCCGCGTCAATTTCCCAGCCCCCCACCTACTTATCCTTGAGGCTGCATACACCAAATACAACACATCACTACACCCGTCCTACACCTTAATCATACTGGCACCTTATATGCACAACCGTGCACATTCGGTGACAGCCTGCCCACCTGTGGTGGAAGTAAGTAAGCCCTCAGCCCACATGCCTACCCTCCACAAAACACACCTTGACAGACTTGTTGTCGTGTTCGATCGCATGCTCCGCCTGCCCACCTGTGGTGGAAGTAAGTAAGCCCTCAGCCCACATGCCTACCCTCCACAACACACACCTTGACAGACTTGTTGTCGTGTTCGATCGCATGCTCCGCCTGCCCACCTGTGGTGGAAGTAAGTAAGCCCTCAGCCCAGAACACTCACCTTGACAGACTTCTTGTCGTGTTCGATTGCCCGCACACAGTCATGCTCCACCAATAGCCAGTCGCTGGGGGAGAGGAGGGCAGGGGTTGGTGTGAGAGGAGAGGGAAGGAGGGGGGAAGGGGAATGGGAATGCTGGGATTGAGCTAGGCAGGCAGTCCGTTGATCGCCCGCACACAGTCATGCTCCACCAATAGCCAGTCGCTGGGGGAGAGGAGGGCAGGGGTTGGTGTGAGAGGAGAGGGAAGGAGGAGGGAAGGGGAATGGGAATGCTGGTTTTCAGCTAGCCAGTCCGTTTATCGCCCGCACACAGTCATGCTCCACCTGCAGCCAGTCGCTGGGGAACGGGAAAGCAGGGTTGGCAGGGAGGGGGAAGAGTAGCAGGGAGGGGGGAAGTGCGGGCAGGGCAGTAAGGAAGAGAATCAATCACTGCTCTCACACAGTCATGCTCCACCGCTGGAGGAGGGGGCAAGGGCTGGTTGGGACGGGGGTGTTGGGAGGGGGAGGAGGGGGAAGGGAGGGGAAGAGGAGGTGGAGGAGGAGAATCATTCACGCTCCCACACAGCCATGCTCGACCTGACGGCAGTCGCAAAGAGAGCAATGGGGGAGAGGTTGGTGGGGTTACTTTTGAGTCGACTCAAAAGTCACCTAGTCGACTCAAAAGTCACCTAGTCGACTCTAAAGTCACCCAGTCGACTCTAAAGTCACATCATTCACGCTCCCACACAGCCATGCTCGACCTGATGTCAGTCGCGAAGAGAGCAATGGGGGGGAGGTTGGTGGGGTTGGTGAGGACGGGGGGGGAGAGGGAGGGGAGGGAATGGTGCAATCCTGCTGAGCTGAGGAATTGAACTATTTGGTTGCTTTCACACTATCCTGCTCCCACCCGGCCCCCACATCCCACTTTTGCGTCGACTCAAAAGTCACTTTTGAGTCGACTCAAGAGGAATTGAACTATTTGGTTGCTCTCACACAATCCTGCTCCCACCCGGCCCTCACCTCCCACTCTCACCGTCGCTTACACTCTTCCCCACCCCGCCCCCACCTCCCACTCTCATCCCCGCTTCCTTCTTGGCACCCTTGCTCCAATGGCACAGGGCATGGTTAATAGGTCCGAGCAGAGAGCAACGAGGTTTTGCAAGTCGGTCCCAGCAGAGAGCAACGAGGTTTTGCAAGTCGATCCAAGCAGAGAGCAACGGGGTTTGCAAGTCGATCCGAGCAGAGAGCAACGGGTTAGCAAATGAGATTGCTCCAAAACCGAGTGCAATAAGTCCATCTGTGTCACTTGGTCCCCCACCCTCACAACAAGGGACACGGATGGACCCAAGCAAGCAGCCCTCATTCTTCTCACCCTCGCTTCCGGTGGCACAGAGCGCGGCTGGTCCAGAACGTGGCAAAGAGTTATGGGACATCTCGACGTCTCAACAGTCAGCCCTCCTTCTCACCCTTTCCCCCACCAAGTCAGCCCTCCTTCTCACCCTTTCCCCCTCCAAGTCAGCCCTCCTTCTCACCCTTTCCCCCACCAAGTCAGCCCTCCTTCTCACCCTTTCCCCCACCAAGTCAGCCCTCCTTCTCACCCTTTCCCCCACCAAGTCAGCCCTCCTTCTCACCCTTTCCCCCACCAAGTCAGCCCTCCTTCTCACCCTTTCCCCCACCCAGCCAGCCCTCCTTCTCACCCTTTCCCCCACCAAGCCAGCCCTCCTTCTCACCCTTTCCCCCACCAAGTCAGCCCTCCTTCTCACCCTTTCCCCCACCAAGTCAGCCCTCCTTCTCACACTTTCCCCCACCCAACCAGCCCTCCTTCTCACCCTTTCCCCCACCCAGCCAGCCCTCCTTCTCACCCTTTCCCCCACCCAGCCAGCCCTCCTTCTCACCCTTTCCCCCACCAAGTCAGCCCTCCTTCTCACCCTTTCCCCCACCAAGCCAGCCCTCCTTCTCACCCTTTCCCCCACCCAACCAGCCCTCCTTCTCACCCTTTCCCCCACCAAGTCAGCCCTCCTTCTCACCCTTTCCCCCACCCAGCCAGCCCTCCTTCTCACCCTTTCCCCCACCAAGGCAGCCCTCCTTCTCACCCTTTCCCCCACCAAGTCAGCCCTCCTTCTCACCCTTTCCCCCACCCAGCCAGCCCTCCTTCTCACCCTTTCCCCCACCAAGTCAACCCTCCTTCTCACCCTTTCCCCCACCAAGTCAGCCCTCCTTCTCACCCTTTCCCCCACCCAGCCAGCCCTCCTTGTCACCCTTTCCCCCACCAAGTCAGCCCTCCTTCTCACCCTTTCCCCCACCCAGCCAGCCCTCCTTCTCACCCTTTCCCCCACCAAGTCAGCCCTCCTTCTCACCCTTTCCCCCACCAAGTCAGCCCTCCTTCTCACCCTTTCCCCCACCCAGCCAGCCCTCCTTCTCACCCTTTCCCCCACCCAGCCAGCCCTCCTTCTCACCCTTTCCCCCACCAAGCCAGCCCTCCTTCTCACCCTTTCCCCCACCAAGTCAGCCCTCCTTCTCACCCTTTCCCCCACCAAGTCAGCCCTCCTTCTCACCCTTTCCCCCACCCAGCCAGCCCTCCTTCTCACCCTTTCCCCCACCCAGCCAGCCCTCCTTCTCACCCTTTCCCCCACCAAGTCAGCCCTCCTTCTCACCCTTTCCCCCACCAAGTCAGCCCTCCTTCTCACCCTTTCCCCCACCCAGCCAGCCCTCCTTCTCACCCTTTCCCCCACCCAGCCAGCCCTCCTTCTCACCCTTTCCCCCACCCAGCCAGCCCTCCTTCTCACCCTTTCCCCCACCAAGTCAGCCCTCCTTCTCACCCTTTCCCCCACCAAGTCAGCCCTCCTTCTCACCCTTTCCCCCACCAAGTCAGCCCTCCTTCTCACCCTTTCCCCCACCCAGCCAGCCCTCCTTCTCACCCTTTCCCCCACCAAGCCAGCCCTCCTTCTCACCCTTTCCCCCACCAAGTCAGCCCTCCTTCTCACCCTTTCCCCCACCAAGTCAGCCCTCCTTCTCACCCTTTCCCCCACCCAGCCAGCCCTCCTTCTCACCCTTTCTCCCACCCAGCCAGCCCTCCTTCTCACCCTTTCCCCCACCAAGCCAGCCCTCCTTCTCACCCTTTCCCCCACCAAGTCAGCCCTCCTTCTCACCCTTTCCCCCACCAAGTCAGCCCTCCTTCTCACCCTTTCCCCCACCCAGCCAGCCCTCCTTCTCACCCTTTCCCCCACCCAGCCAGCCCTCCTTCTCACCCTTTCCCCCACCCAGCCAGCCCTCCTTCTCACCCTTTCCCCCACCAAGTCAGCCCTCCTTCTCACCCTTTCCCCCACCAAGTCAGCCCTCCTTCTCACCCTTTCCCCCACCCAGCCAGCCCTCCTTCTCACCCTTTCCCCCACCCAGCCAGCCCTCCTTCTCACCCTTTCCCCCACCCAGCCAGCCCTCCTTCTCACCCTTTCCCCCACCAAGTCAGCCCTCCTTCTCACCCTTTCCCCCACCAAGTCAGCCCTCCTTCTCACCCTTTTCCCCACCCAGCCAGCCCTCCTTCTCACCCTTTTCCCCACCAAGTCAGCCCTCCTTCTCACCCTTTCCCCCACCAAGTCAGCCCTCCTTCTCACCCTTTCCCCCACCAAGCCAGCCCTCCTTCTCACCCTTTCCCCCACCAAGTCAGCCCTCCTTCTCACCCTTTCCCCCACCCAGCCAGCCCTCCTTCTCACCCTTTCCCCCACCCAGCCAGCCCTCCTTCTCACCCTTTCCCCCACCAAGTCAGCCCTCCTTCTCACCCTTTCCCCCACCAAGTCAGCCCTCCTTCTCACCCTTTCCCCCACCCAGCCAGCCCTCCTTCTCACCCTTTCCCCCACCCAGCCAGCCCTCCTTCTCACCCTTTCCCCCACCAAGTCAGCCCTCCTTCTCACCCTTTCCCCCACCCAGCCAGCCCTCCTTCTCACCCTTTCCCCCACCCAGCCAGCCCTCCTTCTCACCCTTTCCCCCACCAAGCCAGCCCTCCTTCTCACCCTTTCCCCCACCAAGTCAGCCCTCCTTCTCACCCTTTCCCCCACCAAGTCAGCCCTCCTTCTCACCCTTTCCCCCACCCAGCCAGCCCTCCTTCTCACCCTTTCTCCCACCCAGCCAGCCCTCCTTCTCACCCTTTCCCCCACCAAGCCAGCCCTCCTTCTCACCCTTTCCCCCACCCAGCCAGCCCTCCTTCTCACCCTTTCCCCCACCAAGTCAGCCCTCCTTCTCACCCTTTCCCCCACCAAGTCAGCCCTCCTTCTCACCCTTTCCCCCACCCAACCAGCCCTCCTTCTCACCCTTTCCCCCACCCAGCCAGCCCTCCTTCTCACCCTTTCCCCCACCCAGCCAGCCCTCCTTCTCACCCTTTCCCCCACCAAGTCAGCCCTCCTTCTCACCCTTTCCCCCACCAAGTCAGCCCTCCTTCTCACCCTTTCCCCCACCCAGCCAGCCCTCCTTCTCACCCTTTCCCCCACCCAGCCAGCCCTCCTTCTCACCCTTTCCCCCACCCAGCCAGCCCTCCTTCTCACCCTTTCCCCCCTCGATCTCAGCCCGTTCCCCACATTTCCCACCTTCCCAACTCACCCTCGCTTCCGGTGGCAGAGAGCGCGGTTGGTCCAGAAGGTGGCGATGGATGGACACAGGCGAATGGCCTGGTGGGGTGGACAAGGGGGGGACAAGGGGGGGGGAAGATAAGTGAAGGGACACCCCACCAGGCCACCCCACCAGGCCACCCCACCAGGCCACCCCACCAGGCCAGGTCACAAGGGGAAGGGAAAGGAGAATTCAGGTTATGCTTGATAACCATTCTCCCCAATTCTCAAACACGCCCAGACAGGCGCTACACCTCTGTCAGCGTAGCACGTTATAGCTTGTACCGGCAGCGAAATTCGAAAATCCGCTCCCAACGCTGCTATGAGCGGGCGGGACTGCTGTACCTCAGTATAGCACGAGATAGCGGCTGCGATGTTCCCCGCGCTGTACTGCTCGTTGCCCTGCTCTTTCAACCGCTCTGCACGCCTCTGCACACTCGAAACTCCGCTCCCAGTGCTGCTATGAGCGCTCGCGCTCGTTGCGGACTCCCCTGCTGCTGATTGCGCCGGTGGCGCTGCGCCTGCGCCTGCGCCTGCTGCTTGCGCTGCCCCCCTGCCTCCCCCTCTGCCTAACCCGCTTCCTCCCCCGCCGTCCCCTGTGGTTTCCCTTCTCTCTCCCCCTCTTTCTCTCCCTCCTCTACCTGTTCCCCCTCGTTGCTCCCCTTCCCGATCACGCCTCCCCCGCTGCTCTCCCCCAGAGCCGCCGCCTCTTCTGCCGCCCTCGCCTCGTCTGGAACCTTCCGCGCGACCCCAACTAAAGAAAAACGATCGCTCCATGCTAGTCCGATGCTGCTCGATGCTCGCCGGATTCTAGCTCGAGACTACCCCGATGCTACCCCGATGCTAGCTCGATGCCAGCCCCGTTGCTAGCCCGAAACGAAGCGCTGAAACGTTCTTACGAAGATCCGGTTACCACGCTGACTGAACGACGGATTCCCGCGCTGAACAACAGGCTGACAGGCTGCGACGCTGGACGACAGGCTGCGACGCTAAGCGACAGGCTGCAACACTGAATCGATTACACTGGCTCACTGTACTTCAACCCCAAACAAAGGATGTTGACTCAAACGCAGGCCTCACTTCCAGGAAGCTTCAAGTTGCACGTCTCGTTACAGACAAACGTCAGCAGAATTCGAGAAAAACTCAAACTACGGCACACGCACTGTTCCCCCCACCCGCCTACCACCTGATGCTTGGAATCCGCTTGTAAAATTTAATGCTTGAGAACCTTCCCCACCCACTTACGACCCAAATCAGGGCATTATTGCCTTTCCGGACACCATTCCGGCCCTAGCCACGACATTCCCTTTCCGGTATTAAGCCGCCTTTTAGTAGACCCTTACGTTCCTCGGGACCTTTCTCTTCTCAATTTCCGAAAGTGTCTCATATTTCCTAATCAGTACCTGCACGAGCAGAACAGGGTTGAAGTTTCAAATCGAACCAGGAGGCCCCCTGCCAAGCAAGCTGCGGTCACAAGAACGAGTTATTAGCATCGTGCTGTGGCGGTCGACCCAACCGGCCAAATCTGAATTAGGAGAACACTTCGGTATTTAACGGTGACAAAATATCCCACCTCGGTATTGTGCGGTGAATTTTCTCAGCTGCGACCATTGCTTGGTCGCCCCAACCAGCCACCAAAGACAGGGGTGGGTCATACATGCGTACAAAGCTCGTTAAACACGATTTAGTACGTTACGGAACGGCCAAGAACGTTTGTTATCTTCCACCGCATTTTAACAACGCACCGGACTGAATCCCACTGTTGAAACAACAATGACCTACCCACCGAGACTACCTTGAGTTATACATTCCAACCATAAGTGCGTAGCGTACTCCGCGCATCGCTTGCTAGCAGGCTCCAGCATTTCTTCCTCATTTTCTTTCCCTGCCGCCATTCCGCCCGTCGCTCGCACGCGTTCGCGCATGGCAGCTCTCATCTTGTGATCCACCCTCGTTGGACTTTTGAGGCGCCTCAAAAGCCATTCCGCCCGTTCCTCGCTCGCGTCGTGCCTGGCAGCTCTCTATCTTTGATCCACTCCCGTTGGACCATCATGGTTGTTAGAGGCGAGGACTCGGCGACGACGGACCAGTTAGTAGATCGTGTTCGAGATACTAATACAGATCTCGCAGCGGCTACCATCGAGGATAAGGTGATTCGCTTATCTCCGTTGGATGCAGTGATGGGTCCGTTCGGGTTCACCATAGTTTATATCTTTCCGCCTCCCGAACCTCCATAATCCTGCGATTTGCCGCCTTCCGAGCCTCCTAGAGTCATCAGCCGAATATCTGCCCAACAAGTACCTCTTGCCAAACCAGATACACTCTCCGAACCAATTTCTGCCAAACCTAGAATGTCTTCTGAGGCACGTGATATTCTCGTCGAGACAACCGAGGAGCTGGTGAATCAACCGTACGATTTGGACCGGCTTCGATCGTCATTCGTAAATCTAATCGAACAAGATTACCCGATTCTGCTGGGGAGATTGCACGCTGATCCTGTAACGGGCGTAACGAGCGTGCGACAAACGAGGGAATGCCTCGCTGCTGGCGCGAAAGCAATCAGATTCACTCAAGCTCCAAAATCATTTCTTTCAGAGTCCGAACCAGGAAATCCGTTCGTCCCTCTCACAACCACCGAGGCCATGGCTTCCCTCCCAATGTCTCTAATGCCGGAGCGCGATCCGACTGAGTTAATCTCCATCAAGGCTACTATTCTAGCGGATGGCGGGATGGCGATCGGAGTGAATATCAGTCACTGCCTAGTGGACGGCGAGGGAATGTTTACATTCATGAAGATGTGGGGGATGCGGTACAGAGGGGTGAGGAGTGGTACGGAGCAGCAGCGGCATGCTATTTGTCATGATAGGTCGCTGCTGTTTGGGAAGGGAGTTGGGTCTAAGCTGCCCCATCTCGAGTTCAGAGTTCCCGAATCTTCTGCAAAACCTGCACAAGCAGCGACCGCAGCATCGGGAACTGCAGCAGAAGCAGTAACATCAAAATCAGCAGCGACAGAAACAGCTGCATCAGAAGAAGCAACATCACGGGCATCAGCAGCAGCGTCAGAAGCAGTACAATTAGCAACACCAACAGTTTCAAAAACAACAGAAGCACCAGCAAGAGCAGCAGCAGCAGGAGAAGCAGAGGCACCAGAAGCGGCAGCAGTGCCAGCTGTAGCAGCAGCGCCTGTGTTTCCTGCAACCTCGCATTCCATCTTCCACCTCTCCCCCAACCAGCTCAAAACACTCAGATCCGTTGCATCTGGGCCGTTAATTGGCTCCATCGCATCAGGGCCGGGCCGTCAGATCCCAGATCAGAAGAGCATCCAACGGATCACGACCCTCAAGGACCCACCTACGTCAGCACTATTGACTCCGTATCAGCACTCATGCTCCTCCTGATCTCGCAAGCCCGAGGTCATAATAAAGACGTCCGTTTCACCACTGGTGTCAACGGCCGGAGAAGATTAATCCCTCCTCTGCCCAAAGACTACTGCGGAAATGTGATTTTCAATGCCTTGTCTTGTTATTCCGCTTCAGAACTTCGGGAGACAACAGCTGCAACACTAAGGGTACATTCCGCTGTGGACACATGTCCCAATCGATGTGTCCCAATCGTTTCTACCGCACTGCATCGTATTACACCAAATTGCACCCTAGTTTCGAAATTTTCGCGTCTCTGGTTTAGTTCGGTTCGGAGCGGTACACTCGATTGGGACACATCGATTGGGACATGTGTCCACAGCGGAATGTACCCTAAGGCTTATCGCACGGAGAATCCGACGATCCATTATAAGCTGCTCCGATACCCACATGCGCGACGCCATAGAATACCTCACGGACCAGCAAAACATCTCCTCTGTGCGAGTCGGGACGGATTTTTTCTTCGGGGATGACATCATGCTGACGTCATGGGTGAATCACGGCATGTATGATGCGGATTTTGGCGCCCGGCCATGGTATGTGGGGGTGCCGAGGCTCCCATGCTGTGATGGCATGGTGGTGGTGATGGAAGGGATTGGGGGAGCAGAGGGGTTGGATGTGCTGCTGCTGCTGGAGGCTGCAGCTTCAGAGCGGTTCAAGAGGTTATGGAATGAGGTTCCGTTCTGGCAGTGATATAGGGTCTGGTATGGGCCTACCGTGGTTCATGGGGATTGGGGGACCAGAGGGGCTGGATGTGCTGCTGCTGCTGGAGACATCAGCAGCGGAGCGCTTCAAGAGGTGATGGAGTGAGGTTCTGTTCTGGTAATGATGTAGGGTCTGGGATGGGCCTACACCTTGATTCATGGAAGGGATTGGGGGAGCAGAGGGGTTGGATGTGCTGCTCCTGCTGGAGGCTTCAGCAACGGAGCGGTGCAAACGGTTATGGAATGAGGTTCCGTTCTGGCAGTGATATAGGTAACAAGAGTCTGGTTTGTGTAGGCATGTATAGTATGATGCATGTGTATAGCATTGATGCTGCATGGCATAGTGCGGGTTCAAGAGGTTATGGAATGAGGTTCCGTTTTGGCAGTGAGGTGAGGATGTAAGGTTGGGTGGGTTTGTTTTGCTCTCCACTACGATACCTTATGTCCATGATTACCGTCCCGTATTAGTTTCTTCTCTATTGTGAACCGCCTGATAATAGATTATTTGTTGTAAAAGACATCTACCATGCCGTTTTGGTTTTGAATGTATCGTATCGCAACGAGTAGTACTGATGAACTGTGAAATTGAAATGCATCGTATCGCAAATGCAGTACTTGCATTCTGCTGTGGTGAGGGTGATGCTGAAACGCGGGTTATGCCTGTCAGCATGTGGTAGGTAGGTGGCACCAGAAGACACGTACCCAATACAGACTAAAACCTACATGCACCCTGTTTCTATCTCAACAACCAGTTTGAGCGACAGTTTACCTTCAATCCCTAAAACAATCATGCTCCATACCAGAATTTAGGTTTTTCACCTTCAACTCTGCTCTGCTGTTCCTCGTGTCCTCCCTCCCCTCCCCTCCACTCTCCCACCTTGAGCGCTGAAGCTAGAGGCATTACGTGTAGGCAGGGGTCCCTCCCTCTCCCCGCCTCCCTGCCAGCACCTTTTATCTCTTTCCGATTCACACCTGTCCACCGCTCCCTCCGTTCAACCTCCTGCCACTTCTAAGGCGCCTCGCCTTCCCCAAGCCTACTAGCTTGGCACCTTGCAGTTGGCAAGCTTCCATCGCGCCATATCCCCGCTCGGCTTCCTTCTGATATCCGCTGCAATGCTGTACCCATCAATATCCACCAGACCAGGAGTCACATATTTCCCCACCGTCACCACCATCCCTCTGCTTCCCCAGCACCACCATCCCTCCTCCTTCCCACTGCCACCAATAAAGCGCCCCTTCCCCACCATCACCACCATCCCCCCAACCCTATGAGCTCGGCACCTTGCAGTTGGCAAGCTTCCATCGCGCCATATCCCCGCTCGGCTTCCGCCTGAAATCCGCTGCAATGCCGTTCCCATCGACATCTACCAGACCAGGAGTCACATATTTCCCCACCGTCACCACCATGCCTTTGCTTCCCCAACACCACTTTTGCTCCCCTTTCCCACTGCCACCACTATCGCTCCCCTTCCCCACTGTCACCACCGTCCCTCCTTTCCTCGAGCCTATGAGCTCGGCACCTTGCAGTTGGCGAGCTTACATCTCGCCATCTCCCCACTCGGCTTCCTTCCCCTAACTTGACAACTGTCATTTTCTCCACCTCCCTAACCAGCACCCCCCTCCCCAAAAAACAGC